TGAAAAAATAGGGTGGTTTGCATTAATATTAGACATAACTGGTTGATGACTGTACCACATCAGTCGACCATGACCATGGGACCTATAAAAGGCCCGAAACGTTGGTTTCTTTGGAAAAACAAATATACGCGATTTAAATCCGGAAAAATAGTTTCGTTTGTTACGAATAAATGTTTATTTCTTTCTTTCTTTCATTAATATTTAAATTCATCTTAATGCCTTTTACGATAACAATGGTGAAAATTCTATTGTGTCAAGATTGGTATTCTGATGACTGTACATTGAAATGTAATTTGTTAATTTCATTGCAGAACCACCATGGAACATAACACCATCATCTTCTCTACACTGCTCATCATCACAAACTGTTGTGCAAAAGAAATGACTTCTAACAGTGAAGCCTCTAACGGATTAACCTTTGATACCTCTTTGGGGGTGGCTTCGAGCAATATGTCTTCTAGCTACATGAACTTTAATGGATTAGTTTCAAGCAGTCACACTTCTGACGCGTTGGAGTCGAGCAGTTCCATCTCTAATCATAGTGTGATTGACGTGGCTGCTGTCGACATTTTGTTATATCTTTACCAGGTAGCATTTACACCTTTCATAACAGAAATGGATAACGATTTCGGCGGTGATTTATATATTAGTCGTATTTGTCCAAGTAATATGGTTTATAGCCTAATTTTGAAAAAGTGTGACTATGATACAAAAGTTGCCCCATCACTAAATGATTAAGAATGGGCCTGTAATAAAACACCGTCGCGTAAAAAAGTCTGCAGTCTGCAAGCATGTCATGGTTTCAGAAGAAGCCCTATGAAATTAAACAAACAACCAAGTATTGAGATTTTTTGTGAAATAGCTCCACTAGTTTAGTTGCGATTATGAATATAAATATTGAACACATAGAATAATTTCGTCGACCCGGTGAGACTTGAACACGCGACCATGCTGCATCGTAATGATACGATCACCAACTGAGCTACGGGTCTAGTTACTGAGCCAACGAAATTCTCCTATGTGTTTTTGTTATAGATCTTTGTGTCTTTCGGCATTAGTCGCCACCAGTGACATCTAGTGAGAGATTTTCGAATAACCTTCTCACCGCAGCCGGTACCTTTACAGGTATCACAATGACGCAGGTGTCGCTTTTCGATCAAATGTATTTATTGAGATTTTTTGTAAAATAACTCCTCTAGTTTTGTTGTGGTTATGAATACACTCCACTTATTATAGTGAAAAATAGATGACTTTACCATCTTAGTCAGCCGTGACCATGGGACCTGTAAAGGGACCAAAACGTTGATTTGTTTGAAAAAAAAACAAAATATCCTAAAAAATTGTTTCGTTTCCTACGGCCTTTATGAAATTAGATGTGTTTGTTTAAGATTTTTGTTTTGTATAAAAATAAATAAATCGTAGTAACAGACATAAAAAACTGCTTTCCACTGACTAAAACGAGGCTAATTGACAAATGATCAAATATCCGTTTTAAATAGCATAAGATAGAGTACAAAATTCTCTTTTAAAATTAGTTAACGTGCTCGACTTATCGGAACTTGCCCTAACGATGCAAAGCTGAATATCATTAAACAATTTCAATATTCTAAAACTGGGTTACGGTTTTTTTATGATATCTCAAAAAAAAAATTGGCAGAAAATGTTAGACGACATCACATTACGTTGTTCTGATCCCAAAGTAAGTAATTAAAGTACTTGTGTTATGGAAATTGGAAACAACGACAAACACCCAGACGGGTTGAGACAATGTAGATTTTTTTACATTGGCATATAACAATTCAGTTAATATGATGGACTTTTAATACAAATTTACATTCCACAAGTTCATTTTTGATAATGATCATTAAACCCTGAAGTTATAATCCTCATTTAGATGATTAAATTGAAATAAATATGATATAAAACAAATTAATAGGTTCTCTGTATTTGAACCGACGTCTTCCAGCATACCATGCCAGACGCTGTACCGACTTTAGCCACGGTACGAACTAGCGGACCTCACGATTTTTTCCATGTGCTTATTATAGTATCTTTGTATTTGATTTTTCAACGACTTTTTAGGCGTAGCGCCACCTTTACAGCTACCAGCCCCGGCTAGAGATGTCGCTATTCATTGTATTTAAATTTTTATTGAATTGATATTCAATTGTTTTCAAGTGAAATTACTCCACTAGTTCGTTATAATTATTAATACAAAGGTCGAACACTCAGAAAAAATTCCTTCGATCCAGTCACGGAAAAATATAATAATAAAATCGATTAGTTCAATCATAGAATAAATGGAGAAAAGTTAGACCCTGTTAATAAAGCTGTCTTTTTCGGAGTGACCTTAGATAGTAAACTTCAGTGTTCTCCACATAATATCTTTCTTGGCCAGCAGATTAAGCTCTACTTTGTACTCAGCCCATAGAATACGTGAGCTTACCGTTGTTGCTACTGCTAGACTAGTTTATTTCAGTTTCTTCCTATACATAATGTCCTATGGTATTCTCATGTGGGGAAAAGCGGCAGATATTCAAACCATATTTGTGTTGCAAAAACGAGCGATTCGTTCTGTGTACCGTCTACGTTCTCGGGCTTCTCTCAAAAAAAGTTTAAGGAGACTGGTATCATGAATGTAGTTTCACAGTACATTTACTCAAATATTTTGTATGCCCGTAAAAATATACATAATTTCATTAAGAAAGAAGATATCCATAATATTAACCTTAGAACTAAGTCCAAACTCATGGTACCACGTTTTTGTTAACTAAGGTAAACGATTCTTTTATGTTTTTACAATAAGATTCCGGAGCATATATTATTAAGATTATCATTTCCTAAGTTTGAAACTTACATTACAAGTATTTTAATTGAAAAGTCATATTACAAAATTGAAGAGCATGTGTTAGATAAAGATGCATGGAACGACAACACGAGTCTAGATTCCACACAAATATGATTCAAAGTGTATTCCATAGCATTTAAGTTTATTTGAAAAGAGTAATCTCTAGAGTTTATTGCTCGTTCTTCTCAGCGAAGTCAGCAGTACGAGCAGTAGCTTAAAAAACTTTGACGTCGACTTCAAAATTACATTAAATTGATGATTTTCATACGAATGAGACACACCCCTTTATTTGTACGTCACAGACATTGTCTTACAAATAAATTGAAGTCGGGTCTAATACAAAAACCACAAAAAAAATGTCCCAAGTCAACCTATTTAAACGTAGTGACATGTAAAGGAATATGAAAAAGCTAAAACGTTGAATTTAAATTGTAATGTCATCGCAGTATCGCGCTGTCAGTCGAACAAATGATGACTAAAGCGGCGTTTGACGCTCTGTATACGATTTTAACGCCTTACAAGTTCGGACACTTTTTAGCGCGGACCCGACGTCCATATAATTGTAAGTCAATGGTCACAGAGTTCACATATTTTTATAGCACACTGTAAATTCTACCATATAAACATGATTTTGTGTACAATTTTAATCGCCTATAGAGAATATTTCTATCCCAGGTAATAAAGTAGCTACAGCAACATATATAAGTAAGCCCAAGTACGGGTTTACCCAAATCCCTTACCTTACCTTCAATCAAAAAGGTTTAAGTCTACTATTTCGTACCCCTGATACACTGTAAAGAAAGATTTGGGTTTGATCAATGACTAAATTAATTAACATATACCTAGATATGCCATTGAGGCTGTTTTCTTTAGCAGGAAAATTAAAATTGATCTAGTGTGATGTTTTGTTCCTCATTTTAACACAAGCATAGTGGACTAGCAACTAGAAACTTTCCTTTAAAAATAACCGATACAAAACAGTGTAATGCAAAAAGTAAATAAAGTCTTTTTTATTGAATGTCACGATGGTTGACCACTATAATACTCAATTATTTTTATGAAACTACTTCACAATTTTTTATTAATATAAATATCGAACACTTAGAAAAAATTCTTTCGATCCGGCTGAATTCGAACCAACATATTCCAGCAAACCGTGTCAGACGCTATGCCAACTAAGCTACGGAACAAACTAGCGGACCGTACGAAATTTTCTATGACCTTGTTGCAGATTTTTGGGTTTTAACGACTTGAGAAATCTATATCTTGACTCAACCAGGTGGGAATGGACGTGTACATTTGTCAAACGGAATGTTGAGGAAATGAGAATCAATAACTTGCCATTGTTTTAAAATAGAGACTCATTAAAAGGTGCACTGATAAAAATAGTAACGTGCTTTCGGACAAAAGAAACAAAATCTGTCCAACAAAACCCGAAAGGCTTTCGGAATAACAATTTAAAAAAAAATAATAACGTACACACTCAACATAGCCCCGCACTAGAGAAAATCTGTGTCGCGGGTACCATGGACACACACATAGACAACCACGTTTCTCACGTCACGAAAATCATGTGATAAGTTACCAGTAATTGCACAAACAAAATTGTAAAAAATAATAAAAAAAAATGTAAATTTAAAAAAATATTGAAAGATCATAACGTCTATACATCGTCTATAAATTGTTATTATCATTTGTATGATCATTTAGAAGGATTTAAGGTTAGAACGATTTACTTCGAGTGGTCGGACGGACGGTCCATTTAGCTTAATGCACATTGAGAACGTTCTGGGCATGATTTAAGGGTGGTTCTCATGAAAACGACTATCATTATATATGCCGTGGCGATTTTCCTCCATTACTTTCTTTTTTTTATGATACCAAGTGACTGGACGTGCGCTTGAGGGTAAGGAATCGTCTGTTCATAGCAGTTGCAGTGTGCCCCTAAGAGCTTTAATCGCAAAGATCTGAGGTGTCTGTAATCCCATGTGCTTGTAATTTCACCAACACCCTTAACCTTCAAAACCGGAACGCAGTTTTTACAATCTGGGCCCCAGAGTATCTTTGGGAGATAAGTTTAAGGAAATTAATATTCTTACACTGGCGTCCACCTATAAAAATGTAATTTCTTTATGAAAAATGGTGACAGACATATCATTAATACGAGGAATAAAAATAAACTAGCTGTTCTTGATAGTCGTCTTCACAAAGTCAAAAATACTTTAAGGGGCAATGTATACGCTTCTATAACAAGATTCCGGTTGATATACAACATTAGCCATTCACGAGGTTCAAAACTATTGGTATTATAACGCCACATGAGTTTTTTTTTTAATTTCCCATATCATTTCTATTGGCTATGTTTAACTTTCACATTAAAACCAATATCCGCTCCTTTGGTGACACGTTAATTCCTTAGTAAGGCATAGCATCGAATCTTTCTCTCTTCCTTTTTTCACTCTGCCAAAATGCATTTGAGTGAAAGGAATAGAAGATAAGAAGTCGCCACTAGAGTGCGCTGGCTTCGTATTTGCTGGCTCGCGGTTCGGCAAGAGAACCTCGCCGCGACCACTCCGAGAAAAAGATATAAAAGAAAATCGAGACGCTACGCTGTTCTTGCCATAGATTGCGTACCTATATACGAAATCTATGGTTCTTGCGGATGACGGGCATTTTTTTCATTGAAAAACCGCATTATTTTAAGTGATTTGTTTGCGTCTGAATGCGTATATGGCCCTAACGAGGAGTTCCATGTACGGCACAGTTTTTCTTCATAATATTTCTTTATTTTTTATTCCTTATTTTCTCGATTCTATTTAATAACCGTAAATTCGAAAGGAAAGGAAAGTTCCTTACCTTCTTCTAGAACCGCACCTTACAGTCCACACTACCATCAAATATAATAGGTTGCAAAACCTCCCAGCCGCTTCATTTTTTCAACTATAGTGAAACAAAAACTTTATACTAAAGGTTATTATACAACTTCTGCGTACTTGGATGACAAAAATCCGTGGTAGTAACCCGTTTAGCTCATGGAGGTAGTCTCGATCTCTGATGTTTCAAATAAAAAAAAATATTGTAAATGTTATTTACAAAGAGCAACCCCTAGAGTTTCTTGCTCATTCTTCTCAGGGGAATCTGCCTTACGAATGAGCGGTAGCGTTTAACCATTGTGACGATTTCAAGTATAATAATGCTTACTTATGAATTATAGATTATTTTGATTTTGATTTTTGCAGTCATTGCCGCTTGGCGTCGGAAATAGATAAGGTGGCACTACTTTTCTGGACGATCTCTTTCTCAAGCAGCTTTACACTACTATTATATCACTTATCAATATCAGATAGTATACTTTTTTTAATGGAAGAAATTGTATTCCACTGCAAAGTCATCGACTCCAGTCAAGGAATCAGTTTTAAGAAGCGTTTTTTAACGCACACACTCTTAGACCCGCACTAGGGAAACACACATAGAGCACCACTAATTACACCCAAACTCACGAGAGAAATTCATGTAGGCCATACAAATATTTCTCCCGGCACGGGAAACGAACCCGGGATCTCTAGTAACTTAGTACTTCCCTTTTTTTTACGTGGGAGAATCTTCGCGGATATCTCTCAGCTGCAGGGGCAACAGAGAGATTATGTCGGACTCCTACCGACTAAAACCCCACGATGAACCCTTTCTGCCATCCGTTGACGAAAACGTAGCTACGTGACAAAATATTTTTTTAAATTCCGATAAGTCGAACGTTAATTAATTTCAAATTTTTTTAACAGAGAATTTTGTGCTCTATTTTTTGCTATTTAAAATGGATATTTGACCATTTGTCACTTAGCCGAGTGTTAGTTAATGGAACGCCTTCGCACTCCTCCGCGGTCCCGCACGGCGCTGGCCCTCTGCCGACGGCTCCTTCCTGTTGAAGTGGAGCTGGAGAAACTCCACCCCATTTATCACTAAGAGAGAAGGGCAGTACTTCCCTGGATTTTGAACCTTCTTCGGCGTGCTGGTTTCACGATGTTTTCGTTCACCGGAAATCTTATAGACATAGACGGCCCTGATTCGAACCCACAGCCTTTCTTTGAGAGCCGGTAGGTCAGACCATAATAGAGAGTTTTCTTTCGATACGAACACGAACAGATTTAGATAAATTTACTATTGAGTCAGCAACTCTAAGGCGGCACCAATTTTATAGGGAGACCGCAGTGGAGGTAAAAACGAGAAAAAACAAACATTCTTACACAAGAAACTCTACTGCTACTTAATAAAAATAAAATCATAGTTCTAAAGTTGGCTTAATCTTTTGACATTCTTAAACGTTACTTATTTCTTGCAACTAAGATAAGTTATTTCGAAAGTGGAATTGCTTATCAATAGAACCTTACTTGATTTCTTAACTATTACTTAGTCTGTTCACTGATAATGTGTACTATAAAAAGAAGGAAAAAAATGTGTTTATTATCATTCCATTTTCGATTATTCTATACGGAGTAATTAAAACTATAATTTTAATTCAACAATGGCACAAAATATGGTCGCGTTCGCTTGCTTTGTGGCGGTAGCTTTCCAAGTAAGTGTTTATTGTTTAACCGACTTAAAAAAGGAGAAGGTTGTCAATTCGACTCAATTTTTTTGTATGTATCATTAATGAGTGATTATTATATGTGAACTGATTTTGAAGATTATTTTTTTCAAATAGGTTATATAACTCAGTATTGTTCCCTTTTAAATTTGAAAAAAATACTCTATCTCTAAGGGTGGCAAACTAGGGGATGAATGATATGTATAATGTTTTTTGATTGTACCTTTTTAGCTATATATAAAATGGTTGTCCATTGTAAATAAAATCATTTGAAAAAATATTTTTCTTTTCAGGCCGCCACTGCGCAATGCGTGAACCGTGTTCTACCAATCGCAACCCCTAACTGCGGCTGCTCCAACATCCTTCCTGTCGACTTCCCCAACCAGATCCTTTACAACCCTCCCATCGCTTTGGATTCCACATTGGCGCCCATTCAGGGACCGACCACTATTATTCAAGATAGCACAGTTGCTAACAATTTGGCTAATGCACTGCAGCTATTGGTACGTATAGATTCTTAGCATAAACTTTGACGTGTAGTCTCTTTGCAGTAATGCTACTAAATTTCAATGGTGGCACTTCGTCTAATAAGCGTGTTTGTCCACTGTATCCAAGTATTCAAAACCGAGACTATACAAATATACAAAATTCGGACCCACTTCGGATATTGCTTTAGACTCTCCCTGTGTTTCGGATCGTCGACGTACGATACGACATAGTGGGCAAACGCTCTAAGTATCGAATAAGAACAAAGCACAGGAATAAACGAAAACAAAACACAAAATAAAAAAAAAACGCTTCTATGATGGAGTTACTGCGAAAAAGTCGTTAAAAACCGATAAGAAACATATGCAACAAGCACATAGAAAAATTAGTAAAGTCCGCTGGATCGTTCCGTGGCTTAAGTCGGTATAGCGTCTGGCACGGTATACTAGAAGACGTCGGTTCAAATATAGAGAACCTATTAATTTGTTTTGTGTTAATTTTTTTCAATTCAATAATCTAAATGGGGTTTATAACATTAAGGGTTAATGATCATTATCAAAAATGAACTTATAGAATATAAGTTTATATGAAAAGTTCATCATATTAACTGAATTGTTATATATCAATGTAAAAATAATCTATATTGTCTCCTAGATCCGTCTGGGTGTTTGTGGTAACGTCGTTGTTCCCGATTTCCAAAACACAAGTGCTTTAGTAACTTTCTTTGGGATCAGAACAACATAATTTGATGTTATCTAATAGCATAGCGTCTAGCACGGTTTACTGGAAGACGTTGCTTCATCTTTGTATTAAGAATAACAAACTAGTGTAGTAATTTCACTAAAAACCATTGAATGATCATGGTCGTGATATATCCAGACATTTAATAAGTTTACAGACAGTTCCAATTTCGCTAAACATGTATTAGAAACAAATCATATTTTTCCATTCTTATGAAATTTTACATTTTTGCGAAAAAGGACTATGTCTGGGTGTTTTAGAACAGATAGAAATAATTAGGTACAACAACAGGGGTTGTATGATAAATTAACAGTTGAAATTTGCATCATCTCCTTTATAATGGGTATTTTCGGGTTTCAACAATAGCAACACTGGGGATAGCGGGGTATAAATACACCAACCGTTCTGAACGAGCTCACTCTTCGGCCTGAGAGTTGAGCAGTCAACAGCCCCTGAGGATGCTACGTGGAGAGGCGAAACACGTGTCGGGTATAATTTTGTTGGTGGTTTGTGACTGTAATTGCGCTTGTGTCATTGACTTACAATATGGACGTCGGGTCCGCGCTAAAAAGTGTCCGAACTTATAGGGCGTTAAAATCGTACACAGAGCGTCATTCACGCTTTTGTCTTCGTTTGTTCGACTGACAGCGAAGCAAGCAAAATTAGACAGTACTGCGATAACATTACAATTTAAAATCAACGTTTTAGCTTTTTCATATTCCTTTACATGTCACTACGTTTAAATAGGTTGACTTGGGACATTTTTTCCGTGGTTTTTGTATTAGACCCGTCGTCCATTTATTTGTAAGTCAATGGCTTGTGTTATTAATTTTGTGCGGAGGAAGCGTGGTATAATTAACTAAATGAAAAAAATATTCTATACAAGCGCAGCTATTTTGCACGATTTAACCTTCACTAGGTTCACGGATCAATAAAAATGGCAGTAAATTAATTTGCTAATTAATTTACTGCCATTTATATTGATTACCTCTACGATATCAGTGTAAAAAGAACTTCGGTGTTTCATGAAGTAAAATTGCTTAATATTTCTTTTGTTTTAGGTGGTGAGCAACCTTCTCTCCAGCACTCTCCCTCTCAACCCCGATCCTCTGGTTGAGTACGCACCGCTCGCCGCTCCTCTAGCCGCTCCGCTTGCAGCTCCTCTGGCTGCCCCGCTTGCGTTCCCAACTTGCGGCTGCGGTCGTCCCGCTTGTGGATGTGGTCTTAACGGATTCAACTTTGTGTATTAGAAGCTATGAATGTTTCTACTGAAACACAATGTTGATATTCTTATTTGTATATTTATTACTTTTCTGTTTTTTGAATTAAATAAATGAATAACTGGATTACGGATCTTTTTTGCGATTTAGAAATACTCGGCTTGATTATATGTCCCATTGCTGGATTCGAGTGTCCTCTTAGAAGAGGGCTTATACTATCTGGCGGGTGTGGTTTATTCGATTCTTGCATCTTATAAACCACACAATACACATATTATTTAATTTTTTATTGACTTGATATTAAATTATTTGTATGTGAAATTACTCCACTAGTTTGTTATAATTATTAATACAAAGATCGAACACTTCGGCTGGATTCGAACCGACGTCTTCTAGCATACCGTGTCAGACGCTATACCAACTAAACCACGGAACGAACCAGCGGACCTCACGAATTTTTCTATGTGCTTGAGTCGTATCTTTGTATTTGGTTTTTCATTTGGTTTTATTCATTCCGGAAATTATTGGTGCGCCCCACGTATATGAACTTGCGTTTGCCTTAATAAATTTTACTGGATAGTTTTTTGTTTGATGCTGTTCCGGGCTCGTTTCGGCTATCACAAATTACTAATTTTGTTCCGCATATAAAAGTCGACTTTTCACTTGACACAATACATGTAATTAACAAATCACCATGACTTCCAGAAAAGAAAATATAAAATATACAAAGGAGTCCGTAACTGTCCCATTGTCATCAAGAAGTCAGATTTTGATAAGGGGATGCCATAGAACAGATACTTACCATGGACATCGAAAAAAGCGGATAAGAAAACTTTTGAAGTCGGTTTTTTTTTTCAATTAAAATGTTACAATTATATGTTTTTAAGTTACAATAACGGACTGTACTACCATTACTGGACAATACAGGGAAGGAAACAAATACAGGGCTATTTTTAAAATATTAACAACCTCGAAGGACCGTGTTACTAACACCATAAAAACCACTGTTAATAATTCGTTACATTTTACTTTCAAGCAAAAATAAATATATTATTTTCATCACACTTGTACGTAAATAGTACGATCGCATGCAGGTTAATTTGACTATAATGCCCCAAATAAAAACCTCGGACTTTTTTATAATCTTATTACCGACCATGGCTGTATGTGTCACGGGCGCGTTACGGGAATGACGAACATCGACTCCGAAAGCATATTATAATAGTCTCGTTCGTAATTCCTTACTTACCGCCTTTAATACACAATGGACTATTACACGCTTATCCTTTCTCCTTTATAAGTCTTAGTGTGAGGCCAGACGAGCGTAATTTTGAGAGTTGTGAGTCGCATAGTTTGAGTTGCGTAGTTTGCGCTGCATTCGGTTTCATATAAAAGTACGGTTTGTTTCACACGACGACTCAAAATGAGTTATCTGCCGACACACGGGCGTAATAACGACTGATTTCGGTCGCATTCGGAGGAAAGGGGTCACTTTAGCATAAACGCTTAAAAAGCAACTGAATAAAATACGTTCGTTTGGCGCTGCAATCGAATTTCGGTCGAGCGCAAACTGCGCAACTCAAAAACCGCACCGTGTTTCTTTCTTTCTTTATTTATATTGCCTCGAGTCTATGTGTTCGTGGAGCCGTCGTTGTTTCCGATTTCCCTATCAAAAGTGCCATGGTTACGTACTTTGGGATCATGGCGACGTTATATGATGTTGTCTTATACTATATTATTAAGCAAAAACCCTTCCTCCGTCACCGCACCTCTAAACGGACATTACAAATTACAAGCGCAGCTCCAGACATTTTAGACCGATGAATGTGAGGATATTTCATGTGCATAGTGTGATAGCGGAAGATAGAATGCGGACGAATGATAAAATAGTTGAGAAAGTGAGCTTCGTTAATAAAATATTTTTTTCACCTCACTAGCTCGAAAAGACTTTCTTTCTCATTAGAAATCAGGTGGAAAAGGTTTTTGTAATTCGAAGTTGACTGATTGTGGTGCAACTAACTTTTTCTTTCGATAAATAAAATATAATGTTCAATACACGTTCAACTACGCGACCTGTCGTGACTTATTTATATAACATAAGTCCGTTGTTATATTTTATCCTTATTATTCACATTATTACATTATTATTGTTGACATTACATTGACAATGGTAACTAATTGTGTTTATTACATTACTTTAATTCGTCGAAGAACTAAAATTATTTCATTAGTCCATTGACTTACAATTATATGGACGTCGGGCCCGCGCTAAAAAGTGTCCGAACAGGGCGTTAAAATCGTATACAGAGCGTCATTCACGCTTTAGTCTTCGTTTGTTCGACTGGCAGCGAAGCAAGCAAAATTAGACAGTACTGCGATGACATTACAATTTATATTCAACGTTTTAGCATTTTCATATTCCTTTACATGTCACTAAGTTTAAATAGGTTGACTTGGGACATTTTTTCGTGGTTTTTGTATTAGACCCGTCGTCCATTTATTTGTAAGTCAATGCATTAGTCACACAAAATGAAAGTACAAGCAAGAATAAAATTTGAAGAGGTATAAATTCAGAACGCATCCGAAGATAAACTTTTTCATAGAATAATAATAACTGATGTTTTATAGTTCAACTGTTTTTCTTTCATCTACCATTTTCGTCGTTATAGTGAGGTGAAAAGCTGTGTGTTTCGCTCGGCAGCGAAGTTGTTTTCCGTCTCGTGGCTTGAAACTGTCGCTACGCTCAGGAATCTGTTGCTTCCTTCGCTTGCTCAGGTTTCGGTCGCGACAAACAACAACTTTGCAGCCTTGCATAACAAATAAGTATTTCAGACGAAAACGAAGATAGTCTTGAAGCTGTTCCGTCGAGATTCAGTTCAGCGGCTGCACACTATATGCCTCTGTTAGACGAGGATGTGGAACCTGGTCCTAGCTGCACCATTCATGGAGCTTGTGCTTGTGCACAGGCAGCATCAGGAGAGGGCGTACTTGCAAAACCTCTCCTCCGCTAGCGCATCTCTGACCGGTCATTAGAAATTACACGCATAGCTCCAGACTGCTGGCTTTTTTCTATCGGCATACAGAAGGTTTGTGATTATAAAATTGCGAGGTTTAGTTAAGTTACGCAGTCTTTGTAACTTAGTTCATTTAGGTGTAACTACGCTATTTTGGTTAATTTTTATTGTTAAAATTGTAGGTAAAAAGATAAAATTACAGTTTTTGTCATGTTGTTTTGTTTTGGTTGTTTTCCATTCCTAATTTCCTTAAAATATTTAAATTATATTTTTTAAGTGTATTATTTAATTCCTTTCCGTTAGTTTTCCTTATTTCGCCAATCGGAGCGTTCCCACTATGTCGTGACGACAGATTGTCGTGCAGTTTACAGTGTCGTGGCTTGTATATTTAAATGAAGTTGTTCACATATAGCACGACACGATTAACTGTCGTTCACGATTTTTTATCGTTACAACGACAAACTGTCGTCACAGTGGGAACAGCTAGAACGACAGTCGTCAGACGATGAAAACGTGACGACAGATTGTTGCAGCTCCTATTGTCGTCACGTTTTATTTATCACTGTCCGCACGTATTCTGCTCCTTGCCCTCCCCTCTCGTACCTCGCGGCCTCTACTCGCTTTGCAGTAGCGTTAGGTCGCAGCCAGAGATGGGCAAGGAGGCTGTCGTGAAACGATAAATTGTCGTCACGATCTAGTGGGAACTGCTAATCACGAAAGTCGTTCAACGATAAAAAATCGTCCACGACAGATAGTCGTGATATGGGAACAGGCTAGACACGACAGTCGTCCAACGATAATAAAACGTGACGACGTAGTAAGAACGCGCCCTAAGGTGTCCATGAGGACAATAACAGCGTTTATCGTAAAATTAAATATTATAATTGGATAGTACCTGGTACCTAGTTTCGCTATATGGATCTCAAAAAAACAACTTCGGGCTTTATTATCAACAACGTATTGACACAAGTCAATCATTTACATAAGTATACTTTGGACTTTTTATATTAAGGAGACGTCGATTCGAATCCGAAGGAAACAAACTAGTGGAGTAATTTCAGAACAAAAAAAAATCAATTCAATAAAAAATTCATTACAGTTAATAGCGACATCTGTAGCCAGGGCTGATAGCTGTAAAGATACCTAACTGTGACGAAATACTTTCGTAGATTTCTCATAGATGGCGCTACGACTAAAAAGTCGTTGAAAAACCAAATACAAAGACACGACAACAAGGACATAGAAAAATTCGTGACGTCCGCTGGTTCGTTCCGTGGCTTAGTTGGTATAGCGTCTGGCACGTAAGCTAGAAGACGTCGGTTCGAATCCGGCCGGATCGAAGGGTTTTTTTCCCAAGTGTCCGATCTTTGTATTAATAATTATAACAAATTAGTGGAGTAATTTCACAAAAAAATAATTGAATATCAATTCAATAAAAAAATAATTTTATATTAAAAAGTGCTGATAATTTTGTTTGCGGTGCTATTTAAGTACTTATGTCATGTTAATGCAAGGTTTAAAGCGGATGGCAGTCCCACATAAAGGCTGATTCTGAGGTCACTGCCGTGTCGTTTCCACCGTGTTTTCTTTTCATATTTTCCATTTTCCTCTTGAGTGATAGGATTGTGTTATTAATGCATGGTTTCTAACTTGAGTTGCAGCTATTGCACTAGCTCTTGATGACGAAGTATTGGAAACACAAATTGAAACTAGAAAAAGAAGATGATGTGTCAATACTGGCTGGAGAAAACGAGAACCCGAAGGAGAACTTAGAGAAACCACGCTCTACAAAGATTGAAAGCATTTTACGCTTGCGCTGTCCACTACACTATAGTCCAACGTTGACTACCCTCCGGGTTCCCGGCGAATGGATTCATATTACGACGTGTCGCGATCGGGCCGGGCTGGAACTGGGAAAAAATACTCCACATGTGCCACTGACTCGGCCCGGTCTAACATGAAGTTTATACAAAAGAATATAAGAAAGCGCGCTGCTGGCGCTGGTGGATTATAATGTAGATTATAACATTAACCGCTTGGAATGTCCTATGGATTGTACTTTAGATTGTGACGTAGGATGGAATGTAGTCAGGAGAGTAATAGTCTT